CTCCCCTTGGGGCTCAGCCCGCCACGCTCACGCCCTTGCTCACGCACGGGGAAGGAGAGGCCGGGAACAGGCCAGCCTGCATTTTTCACATTTCTTTCCGGATGAAGCTTGGGATCTGAGAAACAGAGACTCAGAAGTGGGCATGAAGCAGTAGGCAGCTGGGGTATGAGCAGAGAGGGCTGCCCCCATCTCCCTCCCGACCCTTCTGAGCAGGAAGCTTAGGGAGAAAGGTTAAAATTTAACATGTAAGAAAGAAAATGGAGTGATACGTGGGGCCCTCATTTCTCCCTGGCCTCGGCTTCTTGGAAGGACTCCTTATCTCGCCCCGGCCCCATAGGTGAGTTCAGTCGAGGGCTTTTCTCCGCGGCGGCTGAGCTGTTTGGCGAGCGTGCGGGTGGGTGGCTGCTTTCCCCGACCTGCAGCCGCTTGTCAGCGAGCCGTCCTTCCCACCTCCCTCGCTGCTGGTGCCGGATGGGTTTCGGCAAAGGGGGAGGTTGAATGCCCCCCATCTGGGCTTTTTTCTGCTGTTGGCTTCAGCATTCACCATCCCTATGCGCTGGCAGCCACTTATCTGGGCTCTGCTTCCTCCCTGGCATTTGGGCCAACCCAGCTGAACGCCAGTCAGCATCAAAGCCCCTGAAAACAGGGTTTTTCAGCACTTCCACTGCCCGGTGGCTGCCGCTGCCTGTGCTGGGATGGGGAACTCATCACCTTTTATCCGGGCATTTGCTGGCGCTTTGGAAACACTCAATTTTCACAGCGTGCGCGCAAAACATTATGGCTCATTACAGGCTGGGAAGTGCAGAGCGGTGGACTGGCTTTGTTGGGGCTCATCCCCCTCCAGACGCCACTTCTGTCTCTGGCCTAATCACCTCCGCATGATTTTAGTGGAAAAAATCTGCGTTAGTGGAGTTTTATTTGTGGGTTGTTGACGTGTTTCCTGCTGCCTGCCAGAGAAGCCGTTTGGCTGCCCGCGGAGGTGGCGGTGCTTGCGGTGGGCAGGTGCACAGGGTCCCCAGGCAGGTCCTGTCGGGACATAGCCCTCACCAGCCGCTTTTCCCGCGGCAGAGGAGGATGCAGCCATGAGAAAAAGCTCCTCAAGATGCGTCTTTCCCTCTGTGCGGCTCAGAAGGGCAGGGAACTGCTGCCCTGCCTGCTCCAGGTTTGGCTGGGTGACAAATGAAGGAAATATTTGGGGGCAGTGGAGGTAATGCCGGCAGGGTCCGTCTGTCTGGTTTCGGTGATGCAAGCCAGCTTTGGCAGCTTTTCCAAGATAGGATCATGGGAAGTGGAGTGGCTTGGCAAGGGGCAGGGGTGGGATATCCCCAGTGGGGGGACGGGTCTGGTTCCGCAGAGGGCAGACGGATGCTACACCCAGAATTCATTGGCAACCAGTCACCACCCCTGAAGGGCTAATTCTTCTAATTAACATAACTTTTAATAGAAGTCATATACTGTCTCTGCTGCACCGGAGCACTGGTGGCGGCAGGGAGGAGGAGGGGGGTTTGCTGAGCAAGGCCGAATGCCAGGTCCATCCTGGGCTCTTGGGTTGATCGGGTGATGCTTTCTGCTCCCTCCCAGGCTGCAGGCAGGACACGCTCCCTGCCGGCAGTGGGGCAGGCGCCTCTCTCCGTGTTCCTCTGCTGCCTGTGCTGCTTCCCCATAGAATCCTCAGCGGGAGCTGGCCAGAAGCTGCAAAGCCCCGGGGGCTCCACCTGGCTCTGCAGGTGAGGGGCGCCAAGGCGGCCAGGGCTCGGGCAGGGAGGGCATTCAGGGGCAGTGGTGGGGCTGCCCCACACCTTGCTGGGCCATCCCTCGGTGGGGACTGGCCAGTGCCCCCCACCACTGCAACAGGGTTTCCCTTCACCCCAGCACCATCTGCCTCGAGCAGAGGTGGCGAGAGCATCTCTGCAAAGTCAGAAGGCATCAAAAAATGCCAGGGAACAGCCTGGAATAACATTTTCTGTGTCGCTTCTGGGTCACATAGGCAGGAGAGCTCAAGGCAGAAGGGTGATAAGAAAATGCAGCACTGTGAGATGGTGTTTGCCAGCGGGATGGAGGAGGAGGAGGAAGAGGAAGAGGAGGAAGGCTACCATGGCCGGGGCCAGTGTCAGGACACCATGTACTGGTGTTGCTGCCACCAGTTCATTCTGGGCTTCAGGCAAATCATTTAAATTCCCCTCCTTTGAAAAGAAGGAAAACACCTCCTTATCTCACACCAGCCTTGATGAATTCCCTCCGGCAAAACCCTCCTGGAGCCTCAGATGCAGAGGCAGCACAGATGCGCAGCTTCTCTGGGAGGCTGCTGCCGCCTCCTGCCAAAGTACTCCCAGAAATCTCTGGCACATACTGCGCGTTTACCCCTTTCCCAAGGAGAGACAGGATTCCCCGACACTGCTGAGATAAGATATGGGTCAGAAAAGGCACCTTTGAGTGGGGCAGGGAGCGCTTCTGTGAGCCCAGTCCATGGGCAGCTCAGCTTTCCGAAGTCATCCATGCCGTAGCGCTTTTTTAAATGGCGATAAAAAAAAAAATATTTTTTTTTTCCCCTGCAAGCCGGTGATAGATATAATAGATAGAGAAATTTGGGACCTTCTCTATATTCCTTTCCCTCCTTCCATATCTCTTCCCTGGTTTTTCAGAGCTGTGCTCCATCCCATTGGCACGGCAGTAGCCAGGCCAGCCACGCTCACCAGTGAGCAACTTCACATTCAGCCCTGCCTGCAAGCTGGGGTCTTCGGGGTTTTTTAAGGCTGTAAAGAGCAGAATAGGTGATATTCAGTCTAACTGCATGAGAAAGCTGAGGGAAGGGGTTGTTTAGGGGGACAATTAAAAGCAACACAATAAACCCATTGCGGCCCCCGCAGGGCTGGCCCTGTGACCCTCGGCCAGCTTGGTGAAATGCTGGCTGTCGGCACCGTGTCCACTGCCATCTCAGCTCTCCATCCTGTTTCTTCTTGTGGACCCAGGCCCTGCAGGAGGCGGTAGGTGAGCAGCAGGAGGAGAGTCGGCACCAGGCCCTGACGCCGGCCACGGAGGAGCCGCCGGCATCGCCCCGCCAGCCGGCATCTGCCACACCAGTGTGGGCAGCCTCCGCCATGAACCTGGAGAAAGCCGGTAAGGGGGAAGTGGGCCATGGTGGCAGGTGCTCGGGAGGAGGGAGGACGCAAGGGGATGAGCGCCCAGTGGGTGCCGGGGGTTGGACCTCTCCTCTTTCGGGGTGCACGCGGACACGCAGCTGTGCTCACTTAGGGGGCCCGGCTCTGGGCGGAGATCAAAAACCAGCCGGCCACTGCGTGCCACCAGTTGGCCGATGAATTATTGAACCGGTCAAACAGAGCAGGTGAGGGTCAGCAAAGCCTCCACTCCTTCCTCCTGGTCAAGGAAAATGCAGCATTGTGGGAATGCTTGAAGCATGCGTGGCTGTGCCGGGGCAGGTGAATCCCCGTGTTTTCCCCTCTTTCTCCATCGGGACAAAACTGTCCAGGCTTGTCTGTGTGCATCCCAGGAGCTGTTCCCAGCATGGTCCCTGGCTGCAGCCCTGAGCAGCTCCCGGTGCGGAGCAGCTGGTGGGAAGGGGCAGGGGCATGGGAGGAAGGCACACACTGCCTGGCAATAATCATGGGGCAGAGCTGCCGAAATGGCCGCCTTCCCAAGCAGGTCTCAAAGTGTTTTGGAAAACGGGGGTCAGCATGCATGCCGGCCACGCTCAGGCCCCGCAGCACCACCAGTGTGTCTGCCCAGGGTGGATGTAGCGCAGGGCCAGCCGGCATCCCCACCCCCACGGACACCCTTGCAGGAGGAAGGTGTTGGGGCAAGGAGCGCATTCTCCATGCAGGATTGCCGCTGCCCAGCTGTTTGGGTGTTGCAGCTTTGGAGCTGGCTCTGCCTTCAGCCCCAGCCCGGGATTGGCATGGGTGATGTGTGCGGGCACACGGCGTTTCCGCAGAGCCCTGGTGCCTCCTGTAACCTTGTCTTACCCCTGCACACTCCCCAGGGGGCAAGGGCACTGTTCCTGTTCACTTCAGGGGATTTGGGGTAGGTTTTGTGTGGGTTGGGTTTAAAGGGAACATCACAGTCGCCTGCCTGAGCTGGGCTGAGTTTTCAGCACAGAAAGAGACCAAAGCCAGCGCCCGTCGGCACCGTTTCAGGGTATCCAGCCCAAGGCAGAGAAAGAAAATCCAGCGACCGCTTCTGCAGGCATCTCCAGAGAGGTCCCATGACGCTCAGTGGGCAGCAGAGCCGTGGCTTGGCCCTGGCATTTTGTCTTTTTGCTGGCTCTGCTGGCTCTCTTAACACCCTGTAAAGGTAGAATGCCTGAGTCCCAGACAGGGGAGCCTTGCTCCTCATACTCAGGACATTGCCCATAAAGAAGTCATCACGCGCCTGCAGGCAGCAGAGCAGTTCCCAGCATCACCTCCCACCTTGAAAACCTCAGGTTTCTGGTGGCAGTGGATGAAATCCACAGCAGGCGGGGAAGGGCGCCGGGCAGCCGGGATCCTGGCCACCAGTTCGCCCACCACAGTGCCTCATCCCCACGGTGGGAATGAGTCAGGGCAGCTCATTCCATCTTGGGAGCTACCAGCTCATTTAGGGATTCATTTCGTAGGCTCTGATGTACGGCCAGGCTGGGTTCTGCCAGCGCCGCTGGCTCTCTGAACCCACAGAAAACCATGTGTAAAGTAATCCTAGGAAGGTTGAAACGCTGAACGCACAAGGATTAGGCAATACGGCTGTCCAGGGGACCCATATAATTTTAATTTGGCTTCCATTATATTTGTGTGTAGTGATGCAGTCTTTAATAACACGGTCACACACTGGTGTTCCACCGGCACCTGCTCATTCAGAAAAAAGGATGCCGAGATGAATCAGAGTGCCGTGGTGAAGGCACTCGTTATCCGAGCAGCACCTCAGCGTGCGCTGGGGCTGGCTCACAGCGCGGTGGCGTGGGCAGGCGCCCTGCGTCACGGCCTGGGATGCTCCACTGGCATCGGCAGATCCCTTTGGCCCCCGCCCCCCGGGGCTCAGCCGGCCGAGCCCCCACCATTAGCCCAGCCAGCCGCGGTCAGCACCGGGACACTCGGGATGCACCTCTTGGCCCATCACAGCTCCCCATGGGATGTCTGCCGGTCCCGCTTCCCACAACCTGTCACAGCTCCCCGTGGGACATCTGCTGATCCCGCTTCCTGCATCCTGTCACAGCTCCTTGTGGGACATCTGCCGGTCCTGCTTCCCGCATCCCATCTCCATCTCAGCCCTTGGGGATCCTGTTCCTTAGCGAGGGGGCTGGATCCCGACTGGCCTTGTCTGTGCTCCCACTGCAGGAGGGAGGCTCTGTGCTGGGAAACGTGCCAGCCTGCCAGCGACCCGGCCCTTCCCAGTGATCCAGAAGGTGATGGCCTCCATGGCGCATCTGCAGGAGGAGAAGCTGCGGCTGCAGGAGGAGCTGCTGGGGCTGCAGGAGCAGCTCACTGCCCGGGAGAATGGCGAGCTCTCACGCTCTCTCCAGCTGCAAGGCCAGGTACGGCGGGGAAGGGAGGCGTGAGGGGGCCCATCAGGGGTCTCTGGCTTCGGGCTGTGGCTTGGCCGGAGCACCACGGCTTGCAGTTAGCGAGGGGCGTGCTTGAAGGAGCATGGGACCTTGATCAGGAGGCATCTGCTCCACTTGGGTGTGTCAGGATCATCTGGGAGCCGGGTGCTCCCCAGCACCACGGCTGTCCCACCAGCTTCAGCCATGCTCCCTCGGGACGCTTACAGCCCCCTGACCGACGTTATGGTGGCACTGCAGCACCGCGGCGAGGGCGCGTGGCTCCTGGGGCATCATGCGGCTGGGAGGGCTTTGGTCATCGGGGGGGGGAGCCTTGCAGCAATCATCCACTCTCCCAGTGCAGGGACCCCGACACGGGATAAGCTCATTAGACCAACCCAGCTGATTGATTTTTAGTGACCTCCGAGAGTCAAGAGGAGGCAAGTGAGCATGATGGCACAGAGCCGTCTGCCCAAGGGGAGAGCATTTTGGCCGCCATGACCAGAACGCCTCCCAAAAGCCATCTCTGTGCCAGCGCAGCCACGTCCTCGATGCGAGGACCTGGGTTGTCCCAGGGAGATTGAAATTCCGGCTGCTTGTAAAGGGATTTGCATGTGGCTGTTGTGGAAGCTATTACAGTCAGGTTCTGCTTGTTCCACGGGTGTCAAAAAGGCGGAGGTAATTGTCCTGCGTTTGGCTGGCGTGCTCTGCCTGACACGAGCGTGAGTGCCAGCAGGATCCGGCCCCGCGCCGACTAGTTTGGCAGCAAGCACAGCTGATGCCGGCTGGAGCAAAGCGCTGACCCAAGCTTCCAAAGCGCTGGGATGGCCGGGCCACGGCTTGAGCCAGATCCAGCTGCCAAGGAGTCCCTGTCGCCTCCGGAGAGCAGGATGCAGCCGGAGATGCCCAGGCAGGTAGGGGATGGAGGTGCATCGGCATTTCCAGGCACTGCTGGCATGGGGAGCGGTGGGCAGGCTCCGGCGTGCACGTTGGCCAGCCGGGGTGGCAACTTCCTGCTAACAAGCCAGGACTCTGTCTTCTCGGTCCCTCCCCTCTTTTAAAAATGCTTTAAAAAAAAAAATCTCTTAATCATCTACCTTAGGATATGGAGGTGGGGTTTTCCCACTGGAGCGGGAGGCTAGTGGCTTGGCGCACGCTCAGCCACCCGGCCGGAGCAGAGGAGCCCCGGTGCGGACGGGGTTAGCAACTCCAGCAGGGAGCGGCCACCTTCCCCTGCTTGTGGCTGTGAGCGTGGGGAGCTTGCCCGCAGCACCCAGCCATGCCCTGCTGGGTGTGCGGGGCTGTGGAGGAGGCGCTGCCCGCTGCGCTGCCACCTCCACCAGGGCGTGACTTGGTAACCCACAGCACCATGTCGGCACATCTGCCTCAGCTATCAGCCAGCACTTCCTACCTCATGGGCCATGGAGGCCTGGGTGCTTGGAAAGAGCTGGATGGGGCGATAGCCCACCACATCCTGGTGAGAGGTTTGGTGGCCAGGCAGCTGCCTGGGAGCTGGGCTGGGAGCTGGGGGACGGCAGTGAAGCACGCAGCCAGGTCTGGTTCTCTCTGGGGTAGGTTTTCGGGAGACGGTGACTCTCATCCATCGGTTTTTGGGCACAGGGATGAGGCACAGAGCAGGCGGGCAACCCCCATAAATGCCACCGGCATTGCCAACACTAACATGGATAAATGTAGATGTATTTTTGGGGGGGAGCCTTGCTGGCTCCTGCAGGGGGGAGGAAAGGAGAGATGGGAACTGATGGTCCCTGCCCAAAAAATGGGACGACTTTGGAAATCCACCTGGTTTGAGCAGCCTGGTCCCCATGAGATGGACAGATGCCTGGATGGGGGTGGCTGGGTGCATCCTCCTGTTGGACTTGGACACACGGACTTCTTGAAGAGCTCCTGCTCCCTCATTCTCCCAAGGTAACTTTCCTAGAAAGAAAAATAGAGAAGGCAAAGTGAAGCCGTGCTGCGAGGGCAGGATGAGGCCCTTCTGGCTCTTTCAACACAGTCATGGATAGATTGGGGTTTTTCCCTCTCCAAAGATGATGCTATTTATTTATTTATTTTTTTAATAATGGTTTCTGCTAATGCTCAACATGGACAAATTACCCCCATGGTTGAATGAGGGCGAAGCAGGCCTTTCATTAGCGCTCCTTTTAATCAGCTCATGTGAATCAGGCACTCAGAGCGAGGTGGAAAATTAAGGCGTAATGAAGGTGCAAGCCAGACTGGACGTCGGTGGCTGGAGTGGCACCACAGGGTCTCCTCTGAAAGCTGCTGAGATGCCTCCTGGTTAACCTTGCCTCTGTCAACAGGTTGATGCTCTGAAGACAAAGCTCCTGGAGCAGGCACAGGAGATCGGCCGGCTGCGCTCAGAGCTGGTAAGCTGCCTGCGGGCTTGGGCTGAGCCACCCTTGTCCCGAGGGGTGACAGAGCTGTGGGTCCCCAAGGAGGAAAGGGGCATGGGGGGAGGGCGCAGAAGGATTAAAGCCTCCCCAGGGTGCAGCTGGACCCTGCGAGCCAAGAGAGGGACACTGAGGGACGGATGTTTGGGGGGTTTTCTGTCCAGTGCAATGTCACAATCTGGGGCCTTGGGACACAGCAGGGAAAGGCTCCCCAACACCATTGGGAGGGGAAGCAAAAGCCCCTCTGGAGACTGGGGCTCCCCTGGGGTGTGGCAGGCTGGGGGGTCCCAGGGTGCAGCAGGCTGGGGGTCCCCAATAGAGCAGGCGGGGGGGTCCCGGGGTGCAGCAGGTTGGAGGGTCCCCAACGGGGCAGGCTGGGGGGTCCCGGGGTGCGGCAGGTTGGAGGGTCCCCAGGTGCAGCAGGCTGGGGATCCCCAATAGGGAAGGTTGGTGGGTCCCCAGTACAGCAAGGTGGGGAGTCCCCAGTACAGCAGGCTGAGGGGTCCCAGAGTGCAGTGGGCACAGTGGGGGCTCTCTGGCATGGTAGGCTGGGGCTCCTGGGGTGCAGCAGGCTGGGGGCTCCCCCGATGCCGCATACCAGGGGGTCCCTGAGTGTGCAGCAGGCTGGGGTTCCCCGACATGGCAGGCTGGGGCTCCC